GAGAAATTTAAAAAAAAAAATTTTTATTTAATAGAAAATGGTTTCTTTCCCCTCCACCGGACCATTTGTTCAGTTGATAGTTCTGTGTGCCCAGTATTGGCCTCTAGCAACGGTGGAATAGAAATGCAGTCCGTCTCATGATTGAGCCGGAAGTCCCAAAAGAAAAGGGGGGAATGTAAGGCCAGGAAGAAGCCTCTCCCTCCCCCAGACCCTTCTTGCAAGCCCTGGCCCTAGTTTAGTCATAGCAGAGTCATTTTATCTCTTCCTGGGACCGGTCTGTGCTAACTGACCTTCCCAGTAAGACTGGTGCTCTGGTATAGTCACAGTAGAATTGTTTTATCTCTCCCTGGGGTAGGTTTGTGTGAGACAGACCACCCTGACCCCTCAGAAAATAAGTCAACTACAATCACAGGCCAGGCCCGTCATTGCAAAATGTTTTGTGAAACTGAAACCCTGTTTTTCAAGGCCACCTGCGTGTGGTTTTTGCCTTTATAAACCCCAGTTCCACAACAGCTCAGGGCTCCAGTCAGCCAGCACTTCCCTCGGGATGCTGCTTGTCTGCCTGAGGGCCCCTGCGCTGCGCTTGTAATAAAAATCCTCTTGCTTTTGCATCAAGATCTGGTCTCTGCGTTTGACTTGGGGTCGTCGCCCTCTCCGACGGACTCCCCGGGGGTCTTAGGACCTTACACAGGCACTGAAGATTGAGTGTTTGCTGTAGGCCAGACACATTATCGGCACTCTTCACAACAATCTTGTCAGGTTGCAGTGGTCTTCTCTTTTTTTCAGATAAAGAAACCAACTCTCAGAAAGATCACTAGCTCCTTCAGAGTCCTGCACAGCCGGTGTATGGCAGAGCTGGGATTTGAACTCCAGTCTCCATGACTGACTGGTCTGGGGGTTCATGCTCTACAGGCCTCCGGTGGCCTCTCCCCCAGGACCCCTTTAGGGGCCTGGGACTGGTTTGGTAGTAATTAAGCTGTACCTCAGCTCCTATTACGTTGCTTCCCTGACACTTTTAAAAAAGAGAACTAGGAAAGGGGAGGCTATCTGGGTTTGATTTTCCCATTCTATCAGGCATTTGCCTCTAATCTTTTCGTGATTATCGAGGTCCTATGAAGCCATAATTAAAACATCCTATTAACAAGTAGCAACCCTAAATACTGGGGCCCCATGTGGGAACTCGGGAAGCAGACGGGTTTGCAGCATGGTCACTGGTCAGGAGGGGTGATTTAGGAACTTCATTGGCCATAGAGTGGATCTGAAAACACCTGGAGAGCCTAGTGCAATAGAGGGCTTTCTCAGTCATGCTGATGACTTCCCTCTGTTGAATTCAGAGTCTGGAAAGGACAGAACTTCCCTCTTTGCAAGATGTGAGAGCTTTACGTTATCTCAGTTAATTTTGCGACTCTCTTACGCCCCATCTGTGCCAGGCTCTGCCCCTTTTGGCACCTCTGGGTGAGGAGAACAGTTACAGACTGGCCCTCCAGGTGGTGGGTCTGGGGTTTGGCTGGATTTCAGTGTCTCTGCCTAGTTAGGTGTGCAACTGAGTCAGGTGTGGTGGGAGAAGGGAAGGTTTTTCCTTGGTCTGCGTCATGCACCCCAAGGCTGGTGGAGTCTCATCCTGGGTGTAGGGTCCTTTATCAGGGCCCGTGGGCCCCTGCCTCGCCTGCTCTCTCTGAGGAATCTGATAGGTCGGGGCTGCTGACGTCAGAAAGTGAGATGGGCTCTGCACAGCCTCTCCCTGAAGGCCATGTGTGTTTGTGCTCTGCCTGTTGAGATAAAGGAGTTCAAGTGCCTGCTCCATGGTATCACTGCTCTGTGCTACAGGAGAGACAGGAGAAACAAGGGAAGGACTACTCCCAGCCCTCCGGGCACTTAGGATCTTGCTGGAGATAGGGGAGAGGCGAGGAAAACAAACACACCTGAAATAAGTAGAGAGCATTATGAGAGAGTATATAATCAGTCACCAAATTGTAGGTTTCACACCAAATACTCTCTCCCGGTTCACCAAAGGGAGATCCAGGTAATGTTTGTATTATCCTCCTATGTGTTTTTAATCACTCAGTAATTTCCGCTCTGGTGTTTGCATTCCGTTCTTTGATTCTCTCTGAGGGTACTAGCTTTCCCTGGCAGAGGTGGGGGATATTGCAGAGGAGGGCTAATTTCTCCAAATTATATTGTAACCGTTGGGAGAGAGCCAAGGACGAAGCGTTCTTGGCATGTCAGTGTCTCCTTGTTCCTTCCTCTGGCAGTCAGAGCTGAAAGCCACTGCCTTCTGTGGCTTCTGACCTGTTAGGTTCTTGTCTCTTTGTTACCTGAATCCAGACTTTTGTAGGGTTAGCAAGCCTATTTGGAGGCATGGCCTCACTTTAAGGTGGGAGTCTCCTTAGTCATTTCTCACTCATTCATGCAACAGTTATAATAGTGTTTGCTACCCGCTGCTATAGACTGATGATAGCAGTGAAAAAACAGACAAGGTCCTGGCTTTCCGGGACCACACATTAGTCAGGAAGACTGATAATAGCAAAAACATTTATAAGTAAGAAAAATAACAGTAATAATTAAAGTAGGGTGATGTGCTGTGACATGACTGGAAGCCTATTTCAGTGAGTGGTTGGGAAGGGCTCTGAGATGGTGATGATTCTGCTGAGGTCGGAATGACAAGGAACCAGTCATGAGAGGGGAGGAAAGAGCATCCAGGCTGAAAGGACAGCGGCTGGTACAAAGGTTTCTAAGTAGGAAAGAGCTTGACATTCAAGGAGCAGAAAGGAGGTCAGTGTGACTGGGGAAGGAAGAGAGCAGTACAATAAGAGGTGGAGCTAGGCAGGGGTCAAGTCATCTAGGATCTTCTAAACCAGTGGTTCTCAACCTTCCTAATGCCTCAACCCTTTAATACAGTTCCTCATGTTGTGGTGACCCCCAATTTCATTGTTATAAATTAAAGCATAGTGATTAATCACAAAAACAATAATGTAATTATATATGTGTTTTCCGATGGTTTTAGGCGACCCCTGTGAAAGGGTCGTTCGACCCCCAAAGGGGTCGCGACTCACAGGTTGAGAACCACTGTTCCAAGCCAAGGTAAAAAGCTTGGACTGATGCTGTTAACGGAAATAAAGACGCCTGGAGGAGGAGTATCAGGTTTGGCGGGAGTGGGGAGAGGAGGCTCATTCTATTTTTGCCCTGTTAAAATTTAGACACCAGTAGTCATCACCATAACCAAGGTACAGTCAGCTTTAGCAAATGTTCATTGCATATCTTCTGTATGTCAGGCATTGTACGAGGCTCTTTAATGTATATTTCCTCATTTTATCCTGACAACAACCTTTTAGGAGGATATTATTATTCTTTTTTTAAAATATATTTTTATTGATTTCAGAGAAGAAGGGAGAGGGAGAGGGAGAGGGAGAGATAGAAACATCAATGATGAGAGAGAATCATTGATCAGCTGCCTCCTACACGCCTCACACTGGGGATTGAGCCTGCAACCCGGGCCTGTGACCTGACCAGGAATGGAACTGTGACCTCCTGGTTCATAAGTTAATGCTCAACCACTGAGCCACGCCGGCCGGGCAGATATTATTTTTCTTTATTTGCAAATGGAAGCACTGAGGCTGAGAGGTGAAGCGGCTTGCTATGGTTTGAACCTAGATCTTCTGACCCCAAGGCT